CCTGGCTGGCATTACAGATTCTGGAGGCAATTTCCTTATCAAGAGAACCCTCACTGGAGATGGTCCTGCCCAAAGACTTCAACTCGGAGGAGGATGGCTGGCTTTGGGCATTTGAATGAGGTGCTGGTTGGAACAAGACCTCCGCCTTACGAGACTGATGGGGAGGCCAAAGACGTAGGATGATGCTAATGAGCCTTTAAATGCCCTGTCTGCACTAGATGCAATGAGTTGTGTTCTTTTTCTAGTCTGGGTTGCCTCAGTGTATCCTGCCTATAATCAGTTGGAGAGGGATCTGTTCTGTCTCCTCTATCTCAAATCTCTTTGACTTAAATTAGCACAAATTAGGGTTTTTGACACTATTTAAAATGCAAGCTTTGCAAATATTAAAAAAAAAAACCTCTGGGAATTTATTGAAATGTACACAGCTTTTTTGTTCACCCTGGCATTTATTTCACCTTGTGTTTCACTGTAGCCAGGTTAGAATATGTGCTTATAAGTCAGTAACAGGGATGGTCTCCTGATTTAAGTCATCTTCGGTCGTTCTGATTCACTCCAGGATGTGTGTTCTTAAAGGGTGTGCCCACGCTGGCATTCTTACCTGTGAGCCACACCTCCAGCTCTTTGGCTCTGCCAGTGCTTTCCGTTGAGAGAGTGTGCGTGGAATTCCTGTTCCTCAGGAGGTTCTGAAACTTGAAATATTTTTCGTCCCGAAATGGAGCAAAACCCCCAAACTTTGATGTTTCTGAAGGCACAGGACTCCCAACATTGGTTTCACAAATGACAAAACAACCCACAATTTTGACTTTTTTGCAAAGTTTCTGTAGGTTCCGTAGCCTGCCAAGATAAGCAGGCAGCTCCATAGGCATAGGCGGCCTGCCTGCCTGTCTGTCCTGGGGGAAGGGTGGTGACTCGTCAGCTGAACGTGAGCGCCCAGTGCCATGCTGTGGCCAAAGTAGCTATTGCAATCCTGAGATACACAACCAGGAGTCTTGAGTCAGAGCAGAGAGATTATTTTCTCTCTGAACTTGGCACTAGTGCGACTAGTGATTTAGTTGGAGTTGGTCCTACTTTGGGTAGGGGGCTGTAGTTGATGACTCCTGAGGTCTCTTCCTGCCCTAGGGTTTTATGATTCTATATCTGCTGCTGAAATGCCATGGCCAGTTCTGGTGCCTGCAATTCAAGGGGGATGTGGATACATTGGAAGAGCCATAAGAATGATTAAAGGATTAGAGAGCCTGCCTCAGGTGTGATGGAGTCAAGGAATTCAATATATTTATCTAAACACAAGGAGAAGGTTAAAGAGTGACTTAATTACCAAGTTATAAGTGTCTACCTGGGGAACAAATATAATGGGCTGGTCAGTTGAGCAGAGAATATCTAACACGATGCAATGGCTAGAAGTTGTAGCTAGATACATTCAGACTGGAAATCTGTGAATCAGAGCAACTTCCCTGGCAGATTCCCACAGGGCTCCAAAAGTAATGAGCTTGTTAGAGTGCCCAAGACTTCCAGGCTCTTAACTGCAGTAGGGCCCAGGGAAGCTAGTCAGGGTGCTGGTGGAACCTGTCTGATTTCCCTGGTATTTGCATGAAAATCACATGTCCTTGGGGAATGTTTAGATTTCAGCAAAATTAGCATTTTCTGACAAAAGAACACACTCCTCTTTGGGCAGCTCCACCAAGAATGCTCCAAACAGCTGCAAAGAGCTAATTACCCAGCACACACACACTATTCAAGGGGATAAAAAGATATCAGCTAATCTAGCCCTGGGTAGAGTAGGAAATTGTTCCTGTGGTTTTCCTTTGTGAGAACGGGATGCTTCTGGAATTTAGCAAAAATGGGAAAACTTAAAAAACGACTAGACTAGCAGCACCGTAAAGACTAACACAACGTGTAGATGGTATGGGCACATACCACTTTCATGGGCACAACCCACTTAGCAAAAATGGTTTTTATAGCTTCCATTAAATAGTGGTGTTGTAGTGGGTTAAATATCTACGGCACCCCCTCTTAGAGGTGGCAGCATTTTGGTGCTCATGGAAATAATCCCTTTGCTGGCCAGGACTTTACCCTGGGCTCTCGCTCCTCAGCAGCCACTAGAGTTGCCAGATGGTTGAAACAATAATACCGAATCCCCCCCCCCCCACCCACCGTGAAAAAGTTCTGTTGAAGGGGAAAAAAAACAGGAGATCAAAAAAAAAGGACTCCAAGGACTTATTAATATCCCTTCAAGTGCAGGATAGGAACAGGGGAGCGGTTGAGCACTACGACCAGGGAGAGCATTGCTTACCCTAGGTCTTTTGGCTGGTAGCCATTTTGTACAGGCAGCCTTGCGGAACCAGATAAGCAGGGGGCTGGGGTGGTTGGGAGGTTCGGGTGGGAGGGAGGAGGCCAGGCGCTGAGTGTTTGAAGGGTTGCTAAGTGCCCAGCATTTTCGCCTCCTGTCCGGGGAAAAATTCAGAAAATACCAGACTGTCTGGGTGAATACCGGACACCTGGCAACCCTAGGCCAGAAACAGAGGATCTGCAGGGCAGATTGTAATTTCAGACAAGGCTGCACAGCCTCCTTGTTTTCAAAGTGTGTCTAGGGTACCCCAGCATTCCTTTACCTCGGGGTGCCCTACGGCGGTCAAGGGGTACTGCTTACCCTGTAAACATTCGCCTTGCTGGCATGCTTACAAGGGTAACCCGGTAACTGGAGGCCTGGCCCAGCTGGAGCAGCACAGCAGGCCCTGCCCGGCCAGAGCAGCCCCCCCTCCCATAGTGCAGTAAGCTGGGAGCAGCTTGTGGTGCAGTATGGCAGGCCCTGCCAGGTTGGAGCAGCCCCACAGTAGGGCCGGCCCCACCTGCGGCACAGTGCAGCCAGCCCTGCTGGGCCCGGCCGAAGCAAGCCCCCTCCTCCCCACAGGGTTCTGGTTAAATGGTTAAACAGGGCATGTGGGAAGCTGCTGCTTCTGAGTAGCTTGAAGGGATTGAGACAGAAAGAAGAGGACCTTCTCCGTCCTGTGTTTGCTACCACCGAGAGGAAGAGGAGGAAATAGCAGAGCATCACTGGCAGCAGAAGGAGAAGACAAAACCTCCCTTTTGGCTAGTCTTCTTCGCGTCTAGGGGTACGTCTAGACTACATGCCTCTGGCAACAGGCATGTGGATTAGGCTATCCGGCATAGGAAAATGAAACAGCGATTTAAATAATCGCCGCTTCATTTAAATTTAAGTGGCTGCTGCGCTGAGCCGATCAGCTGTTTGTCAGCTCAGTGCGGTAGTCTGGATGCTCCGCGATCGACATCAAAGGCATTTGTCAACCTCCCAGGTAAACCTCATCCCAGGAGTCATACCTGGGAGTCGACAAATGTCTTTGATGTCGACCGTGGAGTGTCCAGACTACAGCACTGAGCCGACAAACAGCTGATCGGCTCAGCGCGGCAGCCATTTAAATTTAAATGAAGTAGCAATTATTTAAATCGCTGCTTCATTTTCCTATGCCTGGTAGCCTAATCCACATGCCTCTGTCGCCAGAGGCATGTAGTCTAGACGTACCCTTTGTGTGGAAGCAAGGCCTTGTGGGTGAGCAGACAGAAGCTTCCCTTCCATGCCATCAACTTGGAGGTGGAAAACCCCAGGCTTGCCTGACACCCACAAACTGAGGTCTGTAGAAAAGAGGATTGGGAGATGGTCACATGGGTGTTGCCTGCAAGTCCCATCTTATCTGGTTGTCTTGCCTGTGGGAAATAGGTTTCTGGTAAACCTTTCAAGGCTTAGTAACATGAGCTTCAGTGCCTCTGTAAACCCTGAAATCTCTGCTCACACTTCTCAGTATATAAAAGAAGTGATTAGACAGGTTTGAGTGCTAGGACAGTGATTCACCGTCTGTGGACCCCTGGTGGTCCACGACAGTGTTGCAGAGGATCCATGGAAAGTTTAAAAATAAGGGTTGGGTCCACCACAGTGGGCTCGATCCTTACTTTTCTTTTCCTTGTCTTTTTTTCCTCCCCGGGGGGGAGGGTCCATGACATAGCTTGGAAAGGTGTCCATATGCTTGATAAGGTTGGGAACCACTGATCTGGGACAGTGTCAATAACGATTTGTTTAAGGGCATGGTCTTGCAAGTGCTTACTTAGTCCCTATTTATACAAGTAGATCTGTTGTCTTTGAGTTTTCCTCGCATGTTTAAAGACTACCTTACTGTGGGTAAAGAGGATGGAGACATGCTGATTAAAAAGATAGTCTACATTTTCTGAAATCAGTTAGTATTTGGAGTGCCCTGATTTTGAGTGATCTTAAAAACATCAGTTTTTGGAAATAACAGCATCTATTTTCTGAAAGGGGGGAAAAAAACCCTCTAAGTCTAAGGTGCCTCATGTTGGGAAGTCAAAATTTCGTCACTTTCAGAAGTGTACGCAGTAAGCGCGTATTTTAAATTTGCCAAATCGTTGCACTTTCATACTTACCTATTTCTTTTCTTTGTTAAAATTTTAGTGCAGGGTGAAGGAATAGTTTTCTAATACAAATGTTCTTTGTGCAAATAAATGTGGCACTCTGTTACTGCTTCATCACAGTGTCAAGTGGAATCTTTCTGAAAGATCCAAATAATTAAATTTTCATTATAGAGTAGCTTATGTGCATCCATCACCAAAATATCTGAGTGCCTGTCAAGTGTTTAAAAATAGAAATAACAATTTCTCATCTTTCCCAGCCTGTAAGGGAGACACCCTCTAAAATCCTTACAAAGGAATCAAGCTATGAGTGAATGAGTGTTTTGGGTATCTGCGTGAAGAACTTAAGGGGAAGTTGTGTTGAAGAAATAAGTTCTGCATATAGATATTGGGTGGGGAGGGGGGGAATCCTATTCAAGATAATGCTTAAGTAGGTGCTTAAATTAAACATTTGCGTAAGTACTTTACTGAATCTGAACTTCAGTTATGACATTGTTCAGTGAAGGTTGTTCTGTTTTAGGGTACCAAGTCTCATGGTCAAACACCAGCTCACCTGAAAATTCTGTCTCTACCAAGTGTTTCTCTGCTGATTGACTATTTTGTTCCGTTGGTTTTAGAATCAAATACATAGTAGGGATAAGGGTTTAACCTTGGCTTTCCCCATGTAAGCACTGCCCCTTAGAGAACTTAGCATATGTGTAGAAAGGGTAAGAATTTAATAGTACTTTTCTGTGAGAGAATTATAACGTACAGTGGCAAGTGTGAACTACAGTATGGCAGTTCCAACACCTTATCCTTTGTGTTGGACTTCCATGGGCACAACATTCTTGGTGCTCTGTCATCCTGTTAAATGGACCATTCTGAGAATATAACTTTCTATTCTATAGGCATCTTCGCTTATCTAAACTACCATGTTCCCCGGACAAGACGGGAGATCCTGGAGACCCTTATCAAAGGACTTCAGAGACTGGAGTACAGAGGATATGATTCTGCAGGTAGGTCATTTAATAAAGTAACAATTATTTTTGTTTCATATTGTAAATTGCCATTTTACTGGTAGACCTGTTAGGCGGGTGGTAACAAGTCAGACTTTGCTTTCCACTGCTGTCCTGTTTTTTGGAAACTAAAACGCTATTCTACATTGTTGCATCCAGAATATTTAAAAGAAGTTTGCTGAGTAGTAATTGCAGTGTTGCATACAAATATTCTCAGTGCCTTTCATTCTAGGATTTGAACATGCCTTTTAAGATAACAAGAGGTTATTTAGTCTTAATTTAAGGGACTTTGTACTATTATTCCTGAGGGGGGAAGAAATAAAAGCAATGTTCTAAAGTTTATTCCTAAGGCCTTGTTTATACTAGCATGGTAATTCATAGACCTAAATTACGCAATGTCAGCATACATAACGCATCTGAAGTCAACGTACTTAGCTCTGCTTACTGCAGTAAGCTGACCGCTGATGCTTTCTTGCCGACTCCGCTTACTTTTCTCATTTTGGTGGAGTAAGTACCGGACTCGATAGGAGAGTGCTTGGCAGTCGATTATATATAGTTTCTATACTAGCTCAACCCCTTAGTGAAGATATGCCCTCCATTTATTTGAATATAGAACACAAACCGTGTAACATAAGTCTCAACTTTGTTGTGTTCTGCGGGAAACAGGTGTGGGAATCGATGGTGGAAATGATAAAGACTGGGAGGCTAATGCCGGTAAAATCCAGCTAATCAAAAAGAAGGGGAAAGTGAAGGCTCTGGATGAAGAAGTTAACAGTATGTATCACATTTTAATTCTTTATTACTTTTCCTTTCCAAAAATATCCTGAGGTTTTCCATGTTACCTACCTTTTAACTGCAATCCCATGTGTGTGGAACTTTATATTATATATATTGAGGTATTGTTTATTCTGTATATTCTGGCCTTAGCGTTCCTTGGGGGGGACAACTTCTGAACAAGGAAGTCTTTGATCCATCAAACTGAGCCTTAATAAAACCATCAACTATCTGTAGGTATACTGCTACACTAACTAGGGTACGTGCTGCTTTACATGGGAGAAAAATGTCTTTAATAGATAGTGGAAGATATGGAAGATGTAACTGAAAATATCAATGAACATTTATGGTGATTTTCTAGGGCAAAGAATTTAAGTCTTCTTTGAGGGTTTGTTCATCATACAATCTGAAACTGAAAAATTTGATTGATCATATTGAATTAATCAGTGTTGTGCTTCTAAAGTAGAAAATTTCAGATCAGTATAGCTTAAGGCCCAAATCCAGCAAAATACTTAAGCACAAAGTACTTCACATCCAAGAGTAAGGATGTAAAATTTCGATTAATTTGCTAATCAAATAGTCAATGCAATTTTGCATTGATTATTCAATTAGTCGTTAAGGGCGCCTCCACCTTTGAAGTGTAGCAACAGACCTCTACACTTTATAGGTGGGGAGTCCCCAGCTGGCTCCATGCGGCACTGCCGCTTTGAAACAACGTGGGAAGTCTGGGGTCAGTGAAAGAGTCCCCAGCTGACCCCAGGCTGCACGCTACGTTTCAAAGCGGCAGACCACAGGCTCCACATGACGCTACCACTTTGAAGCACCCCCTTTTCTTCCCACTCCCCTTGCTTCCTCTTTCTGATAGAGCTAGCGGGTGGGAGAGGGAAGCGACTAGCCAACTAGCATGTCGACTATCCAATTAGCATTTACTTATTGGATAATCGACTAGTCGTTCACATCGCTACCCAAGAGTAGTTTTATTTAATTCACTAAGATACACAAGTGATTGTGAATGTTAGCTGGATTGGAGCCAATTTAGCTTGATAAATTAAAAACAAAGTTCTCAAAATAGGGAACAACCTTTTAGAAAGAATGGGGGAATCAATTTCAGGGAATGAACTGTACAATGTTTTGTCATTCGAATAAAGCAAAATAGAGAAAATAATATTGCAACATTTAAACTATATCCACACAGAGGTAGATTCTTCTTATTTCAATTCTGAAAACAATCAGGAGAAAATAATCCACTAGCACCTTTTGAATTTAGCCTTAATAAAAAATTGAAAAGTATAAGTGCATATAACAATTGACTGAGTTCCTGAATGGCCTAACTATCAAATAGTGCAAATGTTAGTTTTATCTTGAGGTGTGCAATAGATGAGCTAAGGAATTGGTTAAGAAAAAATACTCATATACTTGTAAGTGGAATTGTCAAATTGATGAGAGCATTAAGTGAGGTATTCTGCTTTCTATTTCTAAATTCTTTATATGCCCTGGATAGAGTCAGATGTTAAATTCGTCACATCTCTTCAGGCAAGAAAACAGCAAGAGTTCTCATATGTGAAACTAAAGAGAAACTGATTTGGTAGCTTTTTAATGTGATTTTTATCAAGCCTGTAGTAGAATCTCATTGATCCAAATTAAATGTGTGGACTGGATCTTAATTCAGCTAAGACCAAAGTATAAATGAACAAGGTTATAGTGTACACAGGTTGAAAGTCTCTTAACTGGGACACTCCACCGGAGGGCTAGTGCTCCGGAGCCCCACGCACGCTATGGAGCTGCCTTGAGCAGCAGCAGGAGCCAGGCTCTGCAGTGGGAACCTGGTGAGCAGCCGAGGCGGAGGGGCTGCCTCTGGGGGTAGCCGGGGCTGACAAGACAGCAGGGCCAGTAAGAGGGGGCAGCCAGCTGGGAGAGCAGTAGTCGGGCCGGGGCAGGAGGAGGCTGGGGGCCAGAAATGATCATAGTTGGTCTGGCAAAATCCCTCATCTGGGACCGGTCAAGTCCCGAGGGTGCCAGACCAGGGCAGTCCAACCTGTATATTCAATAACAAAGAAAGACAGTGGAATAATGGTAAGATATAATAAGCACTTAGGGTAAAATGATGCTTTCCAACTAAAAACAACAAAGAAATCTATATTATGGTCTATGAAAAGCTATTAAGAGGAAGAGAGAAACGGTAATCTCTGGACAAAAGGACAAAGTTCTATATAGAAAAGACTAATCTGATACTTTTCAGCCACTAAATTGTTACTGCTCGAGATTCTAATTTAATATTGTGTAAAGTGATTATGCTTGGTCAGGCAGAGCTAATATTTCAGTAGCGTCAATGGGCGAACAGGTGGGACACAAGGGATGAAAAGAAAATTGGATGACTTGTTAAAGGTTATTTTCTTTTGAGAATAAAAAGGCCTGGAATCACGTGACCACTATTTTGTTAGTTTCTTTATATGTATGTGCAATAGACTGAAGGCCAAATAGTAAGCTGGAAGGGATTTGGGGGAGAGGGTGTTGATAGCTTTGTCACAGACATCTACAGTAATAATTTTCTGACAGGCATGCCACAGCCTGCTTGGAGAATGGAAGGCACAGTGCAAGCCTGCTGCTGATTGCTGTATTGTATGATGATTCACTAATGGTTGTACTTCCCTTGTCCAGTATCCTCAGGACCTGGCTGGTCCCCAACCAAGGAATTTGCTGGACCTGGGGAGGTCAGTTACAGCTCCTCTGCTGCCACTGGTGGTGGGGCTCTACTCTGGCAGCAGCTGAGGGCCCAGCATTGACCAGTCGGGGAGGGAGGGAGGCACTCGGGAGAAAAGTCAGGGTGGATATGGGACCCTACGAATCATAGATTCATAGAACTGGAAGAGACCTCAGAAGGTCATCAGGTCCAGCCCCCTGCTCTAGGCAGGACCAATTCCAACTAAATCAACCCAGCCAGGGCTTTGTCAAGCCGAGACTTAAACACCTCTAGGGATGGAGACTCCACTACTTCCCTAGGTAACCCATTCCAAAGCTTCACCACCCTCCTAGTGAAATAGTTTTTCCTAATATCCAACCTGGACCTCTCCCACCACAACTTGAGACCAGTGCTCCTTGTTCTGCCATCTGTCACTACTGAAAACAGCCTCTCTCCATCCTCTTTGGAACCTCCCTTCAGGAAGTTGAAGGCTGCTATCAAATCCCCCCTC